CCCAGCACTTAGCACGGTGCCTGACACACATAATAGGCACTTAACAAATGTTTGTTGTTTGTCCTTCATTCTCAAAGAGGACCATGACATCAGGGAGGTGATGCCATGATGTGCAAGTGAATTGGATTGCTTACTGACTGACTGACTGACTGACTGACTGACCATCTGACTGACTGACTGATCATCTGACTGACTGACTGACTGACTGACTGATGAGACCTTAGAATCATTCAACCCAACCCACTACTCATTTTACAAATGAGGAAACCAAAGCCCAGAGAGGTTACAGAGACTTGCCCAAGGTCACCCAGCTAGAGGCAGATTGGGTCTAGAACCTAGATCTCCCAATTCCCTGTGTTTTCTACTCCACAATGATGCTTCTTTGTGCCTCTTATAGAAAGGAATTATGGTCCAAGTTTGGTGACTAATTGAAGCATGAGATCTAGGGAGAAGGAAGAATTAAAGACTGATCTGGAGGCCTGGAGCCTGAGAGACTTCATATACCTGTGCAGGGCTTTACTTCCAGGACCTGACTCCTTCACACCTCACTCTTTCCTTCACATCAGTTAGAAATCCAACATTTCCTCCTTTTCCCTTCTTGGGTCCATGTAGTACACCAATGGAATACAAACCCTTCCCATACTCTGCCCTAAAGGAACCTGAGTTTGCATCAGTCAAAAATTTCCTGCCATCCAATTGGCCATCAAGAAGCCATATTCCTATTAATGCTAATATGACTTCTCCTGAAGACATGAGGGCTTGACTTCACTGTATACATCACTTAGCATACACAGTCTGTAATCATTCTCTGTGTGCCTTGCCTTCTCAACCAGACTGTAAGCTTCCTAAGGTCACAGACCACGCCTTGTGCATCTATTAAATTTTACCATTCTTTTCCATTCGTCTTGGGATTGGATTCCCATGGATTTCCCATTCTCTGTCTTGGTACAGGGAGTGAAGATTTAGTATTTGCTGCAAACTCATGGTTCCTTAGGTAAGTTGAAGGGCAGGAGAAAAATGATCCAAAGGAATGGATAGGAGAGCCTAATTGCCTCTCCGACTCTTGGAAATAGCCCCGTGAATCTAAAACAGATGCTGTAGAGTTAAGGTGGGTAAAGCCACTGCAGATTTCATGGATTCTTTCAAACACCTGTATGTTCCAAGATATTTCCAGTGATAGATTGACTACAGGTCAGCACAGGTAAAACTGTGAAAGTGAACTTTGTTTCCAGTGCCCCTTTACTGACATCCTACCTCCCATTCAAATCCAGAGCCTTCCATTCCTTTGGGCAGGGTTTGCCCTGTCTACCAGTGCCTACCTACCTACTAGTGGCTGGTAAGTGGTAACCTTGAGCAGAATGTGACCATAGGCCCTTTGTTGTTTCTTCTCAAATTTATCCCCCTCCAAATAATTCACCTCTCCAAAAAGAAGTTGAAAGAAACTCCAGCAGTTTATTGATTTCCTATTTTTTTAAAAAAAAAGCAAATACATAGAGCGCCATACAGGGAAACCACAAGGTCCTAACACAAGAAATTCACATGGTTTAGTTTGAGGATAGGGTATTGCCACAGCCAGCTGTGTCCAGGAGCAGGAGAACAAAAGCTGCCTCAAAATTTTCCACAGAACATCCAGAGACACCTCAGGTCACCTATATCCCTTCTTCATCTCACGACACACAACTAAAGTAGGAAGTGTGTTGCTAGCCTATCAAGTCTTTAAGGGGAAAATGGAAGTGTACACAATCCCTCTGCTTCCCCAGTGGGAACCCCAAGCTTGGAATCAGTCCTCCATGCAGGTACAATTTAAATTCCCAAGGACTGTCAAGGTGAAAGTCAGGCAGAAGGTATAGAAGTAGGGAAGGAGAAGTTAGCGAAGGTCTCCATCCAAGAGCTTGTCTCAAAAAAAGAGCAATGCCAAGCAGGTCTTGTTTAATGAGAATGTTGTAGATATGGTGATAATTTCACCACAAAATGCCAAAAAAAAAAGACCCAGAATGGAAGGGCTAGGTACCTTCCTTCTCAGAAAGCAATTCTGGGAACCCCTGGATTCATATAATTTAGAATTGGACTATTCCTGCCATTTGCTTCCCCAGTCTATTCCTCTACACCTACTATTTTAGAGAAGAGGAAAGTAAATCCCATAGAAGGAAAGTGAGCTGCCCACTATGAACCCTAACCCCTTTCCCAAGCATGTCCTCAACCAAAGCAGCAGCCATCACACAGAGAGGCCTCCTCCGGCTGGCATTTTTTTTCTTTTCCCCACCTTAGAGGACAAGAAAAATAACTCAGGAGAACTATCTTGACCTTGACCTATTAATAGTTGACTCAGGATGGCCAACAACATACCACGGGGAAAGATATAGGGCCCCCTGAGGAGAAGCTATCTCTTTTCCGTATTACACTAGGCACTATTAAACAGGACAAAGGGAGGGGGAGCCAGGAACCAGACCTCTACTCAGGGAGAGGTGGTTACTATCTTTCCCAGGGCAGTGATGATAAAAGGGGAATTCCAAGAATACAGCCAGGGGATGGATGTTTGCCTTAGGTTTACTTAAAATTATTGCCATATTTCTCAATCTCTGCATCTGTGTTTTTAGGGTGTGTGTGTGTGTTTTATCTCATCACACTGGGGAGTTTCCTGAGGGCAGGAACAATGTCTTTGCTTTCCTCTAGATCTTCCACCACTGCCCAGCACAAGGTTTTGCATTGTTCAAGCATTCTTCAATGCTTGGAAGAGGTGTCATCTTGAAACCTATGTCAAATCCAGTCTAGTAAGATCAGATTTTCAAGAATTGCACCAGGAAGGAAGGGGGGCAGGAGGGTGGTACTCAAAGAAGATCTTTCTTGCTAGCAGGCAGAACTGACCTGCAGGTTAGTAGGTGATTGCTAAAAGCTACCAACCCAATGTGAAAATTCAATGTCAAATTACATTGGAGAAGTCTCTGATTTTATCCTTCCTCACCCTTTCCCCAATTATCTCTTCAATTTAAAATGAATGATTGTTATGATCATCTCAAATATTCAATACACAGGGACCAGTGTCTGGCCCTGGCTGCTTGGGGAGGAATATGGATAGTTAAGGCTATATAGAAGGTCTCAGAGAAGGGGAAAGTGGAGGGACAACTTAGCTTTTCTTAATAAAAGATTGGAGCCATGAGGGAGGTTTTAATATCTAATACCAAGAATACTGTAGCACAAGGCAAATATCAGGGAAGTAGAAACATGAGCTAAGGAAGGTTTTCTGAATTCCATCATTGGCTCTATCTTACAGTATATGCACACATAGAATGGTTTTCTGCTTGAGGCTCTGGATGGGTCACTCAGCCGCCTAATATCTGAAATGCATGTGAGTTTGGTGACTTGGCTTTTGATCAAATGAGATAACATTTGTAAAGTGCTTAGCACAGTGCCTGGCACATAGTAGGTGCCATAGAAATGCTTTGTCCCTTTCCCTTTTCCTTCTCTTCCTATTCCTGATGGGCCTGCCTAATCAGAACCATAGTTCTCCAGGCCAGACTGGGAAAGACTGGAGCAGAGGGGAGCTGATGAAATCCCACCTAGTGCTGATCCTTAGGGAGTAATGAATGAGCATCGAGCCTCCCTTTTCCATCTGTCTCATATGACAGAACAAGCCATAACTCATTCAACTAAAGATGGATTGTAGGATCATAGATTTAGAGTTCAAAGAAACCTGTGAGGTCATGTAAATTCAACCCCTTCATTTTACAGATGAGGAAACTGAGGCCCAGAGAAGGTCATGCAACAACTGAGTGGAAAAGCTAGGGTTTGAGCTTAGCTCCTGACTCCAAATCCAGTGCTCTTCCTACTTTACTGCTTTTCAAGTGGACTACAGTCCAACCAAAGGCATTTGTCCACCTGGCAAGGCTATGACATAGAAATATAGGAATACAGAATGGACTTCAGAGTTCTATTTCACTTCTCCTCCCCACCTCCAATTTGAAGCACATACCCAAATGAATGGGAAGCTTCTGCTTGAAGACCAGCAGTGATGGGGAAGCCACTACATGCCAAAGCAGCCCATTCCATTTTTGGATGGGATGCAAGGGCTGGCTGCCAAAGAGAAGTGTTTGGCAAAGGTACCAGAGGCAGCTAGCCATCCTTGGCAGGTGAAGAAGGTGAGCTATCTTTCAGAATTTGTGAGATGCCAGTCTGCATGGAAGCTCAATGCTAACTGGAAGTAAAGGGGTGGATGAAATGGCCTCTAAATGGGGCTGTGGTTCTTTGCTGCCCTGGTTGCATTGTTCCCTTCTTCTAGCGTGCCCAGGCTCCTTTTCTCCTTTCTGGAATCCCATCTCAGGGGGCCTTGGATCTTGGGAGTCAGCAGTGCCCTTCACTTGAAGTCATCACCCCAAACATTCCTATAGCTCGACTTATCTGGATGGCTGCAGCTTCGGTTGAGAGCCATCCCCATCTTCTCCCACCCATTCTATTTGGAAGGCTGCATCCCAGCATGACTGTCAAATCCAGGCTGAAACTGCTGTGGCCTGATTAGCATCTTAGCATTTTTTTGTTTTTTGCTTTTTGGGGACATTGGGGTTAAATGACTTGCCCAGGGTCATACCGCTAGTAAGTGTTATGTGCCTGAGGCCGGATTTGAACTCAGGTCCTCCTGAATCCAGGGCTGGTGCTCTATCCACCATGCCACCTAGCTGCCCTGCCTGATTAGCATCTTGTGTGACCTTTGAGCAGTATTTTCCCCATCTGCATCTTGCAACACATAGATTGAAAACTTCCCAAAGGCAGGGACCATATCCATTGACCTCACTCTCTGTATGACACTCAACCTAGCCCAACCCTATACATATGATGATGGTAATAACTACCTCTCCAGCTCCCATTACCCCCTGCACTGACATCAGACAACCTGAACCAAAACAATCCCCCTTCATGATTGTTGAGAGTCCCACAGCCTGCAGAAACCTGGCCCTTGTAGAACAGAATAGAATAAAACAGAAGAGAACAGAATAATACACAGGGTATGGAGGTGTCAGATATAGATAATTTCAGGAAATAGTTCATTGTCTGGTCTTTCCATGATAAAGGTTGAAGTTAAACTCCCTCCATCCAAAGCATCCTCTTGAGGTGGTGAGTGGCTTCCCTCAGTCATCTGGGACAAAGTCAAGCAATGGACTGCCTGGCCAGACATGGAGCTCTGATCTGGGCCTCCTCCTCCCATGGCTTGCTTCAGAAACCTGCAGATCTGATTATGATGGAGGCAGGGAAAAGTGGAACAAATTTTCTGCCCAATATTAATGCATTTTAGAAGCTAATAGACAGCTAACACAAAAGTATTACATTTTATATCTGTCTATAAGTGAGACAGAGAAGCATCCTTTTCACCATCTTTTACACACAGTAGTAAAAATGGGTACCTATCTTCTCTTTCTGCTCACACTTTCAGGCACACATACATACATACACGAACATGCATGCACACACATACAATCATACATTACATATATATTTATATTTATATATATATACCATCTTTTGAAGAAAGAATTATTGACATCAGATAAAAGCCCCTTTAACTCAGGAAAGCTCCCTCCCACTTCTACCCCATCCCACCCCCCAAATCCCTTGCCTATAACCCCAAGGTGGGAAAAAAAGGTTGTTTAAAAATAACTCCGTTGTCCACAGTTTTCAGATTTTGCTCTCAATGAGTTTTAACTTTTCCAAATACTGCAAAGGGTGGACAGACCAACCCATCTGGCAAGACCTACAGTCTTCTTGGTTGGGTCAATGCATTTCTAGAAGATAAAGAGAAATCCACAAGTAAGTATTTATAAAGTTATAATTCCCTCCCCCTTGCCCCAAACTTGATCTCTTCCCTCCCTGACCATCATAGCACATCCTAATAGTACCATATGTTTGGTTCCTTAGGTTTTTTTCATTTTAGCATACATATTTACTTGATCATTCACACATATCTCCCACCCCCAACACTTTACTATAATCCATATACTCTGTGATCCAGTGACATTTCCTATTCCTCATACAAAACATTCTACTTCCCAACTCTAGTCATTTTCACTGACTGTCTCCCATGCCTGGAAATCTCTCTCCTCATCTCTGCCTCCTGGCTTCCCTAGCTTTCTTCAAGACCCAGCTAAAGTCTAACATTGTACAGGAAGCCTTTACTGATCCCATTAATGTGTTTGACTTGTTTTCTCTCTCTCTCTCTCTCTCTCTCTCTCTCTCTCTCTCTCTCTCT